CCTTTAAAGGGTGGTCAATAAGCTGTATGAAATCCTTTAAAGGACCAATATGCTGAACAATATTGCAATATAGTACTGTATGGGGATAATAAAAGTAATGATAGTTTGTGCTCACTATATGAATTACTTTATTTCACAAGACTTTACTTATATTTTCCTCACATGCAGGCCAAGCTCTGCAGGAAAAGTGACAGTTCAGGTGCCCATACACCTTACGATTATCGGACAAAACTTTTCGTCCGATGATCGAATAGTCGTACGATTTTCGTACGGCAGCTCCATCCTGCCCCGATGATCGCAAGAATCATTTAGCCGTAATTAACCAAAAGCACCTGGACGAAATGCGGTAATTGATTTGCCGTATTTTCGTTAGCGCAAGCGCAGTGTACATCGTACGACTTTTGACGGACGGAAACGCCAGCAACCTTACGACAATCGTACGATCTAGCAAAGTTTTCAAACATGCTTGACCGTCAAAAGTCGTACGATTGTACAGTATTGTCGGTCGGACACTGCAATGCACACATACGAATATCGGACGAAAAGTCGATCGCATACGATTATCGTCCGATAATCGTAAGGTGTATGGGCACCTTTAGGCTCAGTTCACACAAGTGTGCTGTTGCTCAAAAGTAAGCGCAACAAAACTCTAAAGACAAGGAGTCCCATTCATTTTTATGGCCTCTGTTCACACCGGAGTGCGACCTTTCCCACTGAAGTCTGTGGGACCAAAAAGCACTGTAGTCTGCCAAAAAAGTAGCTCACAACATTTTTCCAGCGACAGGCATTTTTCCTCCTTGCAAGAAAATTGTCAGGTGTGAACAGGGACCATAGAAATTAATGGGATTCCTTGTCTTGAGCTTTTTGTCGTGCTTACGCGACACAACACCTAGGTGTAAGCAGGGGCCCATCAGCTAAAACTTTCCAGCAGTGTAAGTTGTATGGCAAACTGCTGGAGCTGTCACCGTTTATATTTTTAAACTTTATCGGTAGTGTACACTGTGTACATTCTACTCAGGCCCCCACAGAGCAGCGAGACGCGCTGTGCTACCGTGTGGTGACCTGCGGTGGCAACCAGTGTACTGCTAAATAATGCAGCACCCATCACAGGTGTGTTGTGGTCTAAACAGGGCACATCGTTTTTTCTATGTGTCCTAATGGTGGCCTGCAGTGATCCGGTGCAGTAAACCGCAGGTCACCACTGGATGCCATCTCAGGGATTGCGACAAACAGTTCAACACTTCTGGGGATTTTCACAACAGGCAACTTTTATTCATATGGTTTCCCAAATGAAAAATCACTGCTGATACTGCTTATAAACAGTTACTTGTATTACGGATCTAATTTCTTTGTTGCTTACTAAAAGTTTATTAAAAAATGATCTAAGATTACCATATGCACAGGGCGACAACTCTGCCATTTCACTCTGTTGTCAAACTGGTAAAGGAAGTGGAAAAATAAAAAAACCTACTTGCAAGATCAAAAGGTAATAAAACTACCTTAAAGGGGAGACTCGAAAAAAAGATCACTATTATAATATTAACACAATAGTTTCTGTTTTTCCAACACCAAAATAAATACTACTTTTTCATTGAAAAAAATAAATGTTGCCTAGTATTCAAGTTAAATCAAAAGCATTTTAAAAAGGAAAAAAATGTTAACATTCTGACTTTCATAATACTACAAATACTAAATCATGTGCAAATGCCCCCTAATATACCACGACAAATGAAAATGTGTTCCTGATTGGTTGCTTTCTGCACACCAGTCTTTCCTTTAATACTTACATGTACCCCTCCAATGTACAATGACAGTATAACAAACTAACAGATCTCTATTGGATTGGTGCAATAAATTACACTTTTTAAACCCTTAATAACAGAGCGAAAAACAAACCTTAATGCTTGAACACAGTTTTACAACATTGGCATGCTTTAGTAAACCTGTACATATCTTTGTAACTACTTAGGAGGTGTATTCATAAACAATTCACAGAGCTATTTGTTCTGCCAAACTCTGTAAATGTGCCTTCTGTGCGAATGGAGGCGAAATTGAAAGTTCTTAGCATATTTCCTTTCCAGATTAAATGTAATTTCAGGTAAATACCACAATATGGCCACTTGGTGGCACTGAGGAGCATAGGAAATCAATACTTCTTATGCTTCTGGGCTCCATCTAGTGGCCATAATGTGGTATTTTCTTCATATAACATTTGCTTCGGAAAGAAAACATACTAAGGTTACTAGTTACTATTTGCAAACAAGGAACATCACTTAAAGCGTTTGCAGTTCCCACGCGGTTTTCCGCACGGAAGACCGCGCGGCACGCACACGCTAAGATCTTTCATCAGCACGGATTCCGCTCGTTTGCGGCTATTACTATAGCCTCAGGAGGTGTGGAAACTGTCCAAAAATCACGCTTGCACTATTTTGCGGGCCACGCGGTTTTGTACCGCGCGGCTGCCGCAAAAGTATGAACAATGCATATGAAAGTGACATTAAAGGAGAACTATGAGGTGAGTGAAAATCACTCAGCCTCATAGTTCGAGCCGACGTGTGACAATGAAACTGTCACACGTCGGCTCAATAGATCGGGAAGTGAGCGAACACATACCGTCGCTCGCTCACTTCTCGATCCTGTCCCTGCAGAGAGCCGTGACTGTCACTCATGGCTCCCTGCAGGGATTCTCCCCCTCCCCGCTCCGATCCTCCATTGCTGACTGGAGGGTACAGCTGGCTCTGCCTTTAGATAGGCAGAGCCAGCTGTCAATCACGCAGCTGGGTGGATCTCGACAGTAATGTCGGGAACTGTCCCGGCTTCAGCGGTCTCAGTATACCCTGACCCTGAGGAGAACAATGGGGAAAAACACTTACCCCCATAGTTCTCCTTTAAAAGGATTTTTTTTTCCCTCCCCCAAATGTTAGTGTAAGGACTTACCTTAAATGATGTCTCTTAATCCGATCTTTTTCTTCCTTACTGTCGTTTTTAGCTGTCCCTCCAGCGCTGGTGCGGGTCTCGGATCCAGCGCTGACTCCTCTGTCCTCCTCTTCGCTCATGTCCAACGGAGTCTGTGCGGTGTGCACGCTGCTCCATAGACTTACCTTGTGTCTCTCCTCGTCTCCTGGCCGAACATCTGAAGTGTGCATGCGCCCGCCCCAAGATCCTTTGTAGCCTCCCGAGAAATTTTCAGATGTTCGGATGGGAGCGCGCGGCGAAGACACAGGTAAGTATTAACCCGTTTCAAAAGATTTAAAAAAAAAAGTTTTTGCATATATCTACTGCTTGCTAGCAGTAGATATATGCAAAAAAAACATGAGGGTTTAATAACCCTTTAAAGTGCATTATTTGTATGTATAGAGCGGCTCCATGCGCATTCGTGCGGCCGAATATGTACGGACAGCCGCTCCTGTGTGAATGGAGCCGAAGTCTATCAAGGTGAATTATAACTTGTTTTTTGCAAGACAAATTGGGCCTTCATTTGGTGGTAAATGTAAGTAGAAATCTTCTGATTTTTTTTTTTTATTCTCAAAAGGAAAAATAGCTCCAATCACACAGGTGTGCATTACTTGTTGTTTATACCTACAGCAGGGCCCAGAAACAATAGTGTAGATTTTGCCTTCAGAGAGAGCAAATGCTCCAAATCTAATGATCAGTTATCCTACATATATTACACACACTTTGCAGTGAGAAACTGCACCACACACCCCCACAATGCAAAAACTATTTAACTTTTGTTTTGTTTTGTTACCTACCTAAAACACTGGCACCCGCACAGACCATAAACTGACAAATCATACGCACTGCACACTATGACCATAGAAGATACAAAAGCTTTTTTTTTTTAACCTAAAACACATTGACACTGCTACTAACAACGACAGGAACACTAAGGACGTGCGATCACACACACTACCGCAATAATCCCTATAAAAACCTTTTTAAATGTATTTGTTTATTTTTACCTAAAAACACGCTGGACACTACAACTGGAACTGTTACTGACACAAATACCTAGATCAAGCCCTGATCTAACTGATCTATGTATTTTATTCTTCTTTATTTTCCATTATTTTACTACTTTATTTTCTTTTTGAACCACAAAGATGTAGTTTATCTCTTTGTCTTCACAGATGGTGGAGGCTTAGGCCTCCTAAACAAGTGATCACTAGGGATGCACCGATACTAGTTTCGGTACCAATACCGAGTATTTGGACAAGTACTCATACTTGCCCAAATGCTACCGATGCCTGTCCCGATACCAGAACTTCCCATTACACGCTGCCCGGCTTCCTGATTGGCCGGGAAGCCAGCTCCATCCTCCCTCGTCACCAAGGCTCCCCTGCTAATGGAGAAGCCGGGTGGCAAGTCATTACACGGGACCCGGCTTCCTTAACAGGACTTCAGGTATCAGCGAGTACTGGAAACAAAAAAGAATAATCGGTACTCGTACCTGATAATGAAAAAACGGTATTGGGGCATCCCTAATGATCACTGTCAATGGATATCACAGTGACCACAAGATTGGGGGCCTTCCTACTGGCTCCCAATTATTATTCTGTAACCAGGAGCTGTCAGTAATAGCTCAGTCCCAGTTCTGGGGGCCAGTACTCGAGCGTGCTCCTGGCACAAAACACAGATATACTTATATGTGGGAGCACAGCATAAGGCCCGTGGTGCCCCACATATGTGTACAGTTGGACCCGAGTTAAGAGAACCACAAAAACAAATATACAATGCAGTATTATTCATCTTGTATAAATACAATTCTACTTAGACAAATTTGTTGCTTTAATGTAATTTAGGAATGTTTTATAATGTACTGTATTTAGGGAAGTATCATTAACATCATTAAGAGAACCCTACTTATACACGCTGTGATCTTTGGTGAGTAATGGAATGATTGGTGTATGTGGTTAGCAAGTCAGTTGCAGGCAGCATTACAGGAAAGCAGGCAAGCATGCGGTCAAGTGGAACTAGCATCATTCATGCAGTGCGCTTACCAAGGGGGGTATCGGCTGTAATTCCTATACTCTGCAATAAGGCTTCGGCTTCTCTTCTCTTTTTCTCCAAGTCAGATTCATCTTGTGCAGGTACGGGTTCCTTCTTCTGGTCAGTCTAGCAACAGAAACAATGTTAACATGATAATGGCATAAAGAGCCCTGACCTGAGGACAGGAGTATGGGTGTCCACACAAACCAGTTATGTTTTATCTGTCAATTACTAGCATAGGTTAGCAAATGAAGACAAGCATCGGATTAGCTGTGCAACCCTAGAATTCCCGTTTTTCTTACCTCTGTCTATGGACAAATGATTCACAGAATGTAGCCGTACTGTTAGCTAAAATAAAAAGACTGGATGAGAGTGAAATTGTGTCTACACTCCATTAAAAACGCTGGTAACATATTTGAATATTTGCTGCCTTGCAGCATGGAATGCTATAGTTAAATCTAGCTAGAACCCTATTTGAATGAAGCTTATATCATATTCCTGTGTAACGGTTTCCTCCAGGAACATTAATAACTGGCTTGTGCCTGTAATTGCCATAGAGAGCCTGGGATCTATCAGTAGGTAAGACTTTGAACTGACAGCTCTGCTGGGAATAGATGTATGGTTGGTTCTGAATTTGGTATAAACTATTAAAATATATTTTGGTACTACATAAATATGAGAGTGACATTAATAAAACGCCTGGGGAGATATGAATAGTATATGTATAGCCCAACCTTTCTTTTCAATAAGAGTAGGGAAAAGTTAAAGCCTGTGTCAGTTGTTTTTTGCAGTCTGTGTACTGTTGGGGAAATTTCCCTCCACTTCCTGTCCCAGAGATATAATAAAACTTGATAGGAAATCAGCTAAAGTTAGGTGGAATAGACAGCTGCGCCCTTCAAAATATGTCTCCATTTGAAGACTTACTCCTACCCATTGTTCTGGGTGTAACTAAAATTTTGGATGATTTTCCCTTACTTTCTTTCTTGGTGACAATGGTCGCCAGTACAAATAGAGGGATGAACCAGCCCAATGGGGACATAGACAGCAACAGAAACTTAAAAGAGGGTCTAACCCTTCCACACTATAAAAAAAAAAAAAGGAATAGTTTTACCTAGAGATACACCATGCGCAAGATGCTAGTTAGTTATCACATGATCACAACTTTGCTGATACACCAATCATTTGGGCGGCACAGCTAAAGCCTCCCATAATACCAAAACTTCTAGGGCATGCCTAGACTTTTAGAAAGGAGTATCAAAATGTTGTAGCAGAATTGTCAGAGTAATTATTCCAACAATAAAAGTAAAATCGAGCACTTGGCTTAATATTTTCTTCTCCTGCACAAATATGATGCAATTAGATTTAAACATAACCCCACATCAGATAAAAAAGGAAATATATGAGGACAAAAGTGCACTAAAGCAAAGTTGTTACTAGTGGACAACGTATGATAGACCCCCTTCTACTCCAATCAAGAAGAAGACAGATAACAGTAATAATTCACAATACTGGAAAAGGATTTAGCACCCCCTGCTGTAGACTTTGCTAACTACAAGAGCGTGGAGACCTCAGTGATTATCAGCCAGTCAAACCAACCGAGCTAACCACAGGCAGTTTTATGTAACCAACAAACATTCGATTCCACTGTTCAGACATGACAAGGGGTAGGTGCCAGGTACATTGAACCTGCCTCTTGGTACTCATAAAATATTTTGACGGTGCCTCAATAATCACAGCTAGTTTTCTCAGTATGCTCCACTGGGAGAAAATGAGAGAATTACCCCGACCACAATCCTCAATAAATCCAGGGAATGACCCCCACCACAATCCTCAATAAATCCAGGGAATGACCCCCACCACAATCCTACTAGAGCCAGGGAATGACCCCCACCACAATCCTCAATAGATCTAAGGAATGACCCCAACCACAATCCTACTAGAGCCAGGGAATGATCCCCACCACAATCCTACTAGAGCCAGGGAATGATCCCCACCACAATCCTACTAGAGCCAGGGAATGACCCCCACCACAATCCTCAATAGATCCAGAGAATGACCCCCACCACAATCCTACTAGAGCCAGGGAATGACCCTCACCACAATCCTCAATAGATCTAAGGAATGACCCCAACCACAATCCTACTAGAGCCAGGGAATGATCCCCACCACAATCCTACTAGATCCAGGGATGACCCCCTCCACAATCCTCAATAGATCTAGGGAATGACCCCCACCACAATCCTCATTAGATCTAGGGAATGACTCTCACCGCAATCATCACTAGATCCAGGGAATTACTCCAACCACAATCATCACTAGATCCCGGGAATGACCCCCACAACAATCCTCACTAGATTCAGGGAATGACCCCATCACAATCATCACTAGATCCAGGGAATGACTCCCTCCACAATCATCACTAGATCCAGGGAATGACCCCCACAACAATCCTCACTAGATCCAGGGAATGACTCCCTCCACAATCATCACTAGATCCAGGGAATGACCCCCACAACAATCCTCACTAGATCCAGGGAATGACTCCCTCCACAATCATCACTAGATCCAGGGAATGACCCCCACAACAATCCTCACTAGATCCAGGGAATGACTCCCTCCACAATCATCACTAGATCCAGGGAATGACCCCCATCACAATCATCACTAGATCCAGGTAATGACCCCCCAACCACAATCATCACTAGATCCAAGGAATGACCCCAACCACAATCCTCACTAGATCAAGGGAATGACCCTGACCGCAATCATCACTAGATCCAGGAAATAACCCCAACCACAATCATCACTAGACCTAGGGAATAACCTCTATCACACTAGATGCAGGCAGTGACCCACACCATAATAAATACTAGACCTACAAAATGACACCCACTACACTGGGCACCTCACTAGACTCAGGAAATGACCACCACACTGTAATTAAAGCTCGGGAGCAGGGAAGTGTCTTACCCATTTGTTAGGCCACACCCACAAATTTCGGCCACTGTCCTTAAAACCAGATGACTGAGGAAAATGGCTGCTTCCATCAAAAGCTTCTCAGATCAGTTCTCGATTTCATACCCACCTCCTTCTTTTTCTTCTCTTCTTCCTTTCTTTTCTTCTCCTCCCTGATCTGAGCCAAGCGCTGTTTCTTTCGCTCCAATTCAGCTTTCAGTTCACTTTTATCCGACATGATGAGAAATCTGGAAAGATGAAAAGAATATTAAGGGTGACTCCATCCAAAAGTGACATTTCAGCTCTAAGTAGGCACCTGAATGGTGAAACACTCATTGATTTCTGATCTATCTTATAGAACAGAAAGGCAAGATTTCCACAGTGGTAAAAATGTGACAACACATTTTTACACGAAGGAGAATCAGATGGCAGAAGCTATATAGCATCATTTTTGCTCCATAAGGGCAACAACACATGGACTAAATAGGAATTCTGAAGAGGACATCTCACGGCTGGTGTCCAAAAGAGATAAGAACATAGTACAGCCAGCCTAGTGACCCAACATTTCTTTATTGAAGTTCAGCAACAAGGCCTAGTCACTTCCTTGCCCCCAGCTTGTGACTGGTCAGGGAAGGAGCAGCAACAGACTGAAGAGGTCATCTCTGTGCTCTCTCCACTTCTGTCACCACCTGAAGGCAGAACACCTGACTGACTCCTTGTTTTCCCTTCTTCTACCAGTCTGGTGTATAAGAGATTTCCAGCAACACAAATCAAGTGAAATTCAGGTATTCATTCTAAATGTATTGAAAATACAAGTATTTTTTAAAGCTGTACTCCTGAATGTGACTTAGGCCTCATTCACACTGCCGCACGTATGCGCGCGTACGTGCGTATTGTACTATATGCAACCTATGCACATAAATGGCTCCATGCAAACAGCCGCGTATAGAGCCGTATATTTGGCTGCCCGCTACGCGTACATATGCGCAAAAACAGAATGGAACAGAGATGCGGTCGGGCAGCGTATTTACGCGCATACACGCGTTTGCGCGCATATACGCGTCTATACGCACGTACAGTACATTAAAAATTCCATTACGAGTGATGCATTCTGGGATTGCATATAGTGCACGCATATACGCGCACAGACGCGTGTATACGCAATATACAATTTTGCTTGCGTTGTGTGTGAATGAGGCCTTAGTAAGCGCCTCTTGCAGTCCCTGCGCAGCATCCCCTGTACAGCAGAGCTCAGAGTGGGAGGAGAGGAAGCAGCACAAGGAGCCAATGAGTTCCAGTGCTGGCAAGAAGCATGCTGATAACCGGAGAAAGCAAAGTGACAGCGAGATGAACATATTACTGTGCTGGTTCTCCTTCAGGCAGGGGTGGGTTCAGGGCCGGATTTCCTCTACCTGCTGCCCCAGGTCCAGGTACCTCAGCCCCTGCAGGGCTAAATGTAGAAAACAACTTACCGCCCGGAACTGCATGTCCCAGGCGTCAGGAGATTCCACACCGCTGCCGCCCCTCTGCTCCCTGCCGCCCCGAGACCGGGCCTCAGTTCACGACAACTAGAGCTAAGGTGAAGTGGATTGAATGACCATAATTAAACCACAAAGAGAACATCTAGTGGCTAAAAGGAAGTACTGTGGATGACAGCTCCATATTAAAGGGGAATATGGCAGTCATAGCTGCATAGTTTTGTTTTTTTATTGTATTTTTAATGGGCCACTTTTTTTATTTAAATAAATACATAACTGCATCCATTTTTGACATCTGCCTGGGGCCAGCTTAAGGATAAGAAAGAAAATGCATTCCTAAAAAAACTCTAAGAACTTTCATTTTATTTCGTATTTGGCAACAATCACTTAACTCATCCAACAAGCCTTTGTAGCGAATGCTGTAAATGTCACTGAGCGCGGGGCCTGGAACGGTGTCAGAAATGGAGTTGCCAAGTTATCCCGTTAATTGAGAGATCTCAGAGACACACAAGCCTATTAAATCGCATTGCATCTTCCTCCCAAGCCTTATGATTCACCACAAGTCAGGACACATCAGCATTTCTTGTAAACACCTTTAATCCACGGACAGGACCGCAAAACACTTAAGACAAGCATTTATAGGATAACTTCTCTGCTGCCAGACAAACTGGCAGGACATTTCTAAACCCCCCAAAATGTCTGGGTTAAAGTGGGCCAGAATTTTTGGCACACGCAATGCTATAAAAATAAACTTGTACTTGTGACAAGCATAGATGTTCTCTTAAGTGAACTGCAATGCCAGTCCTAATTTACATTTTTGTTAGTCCTGGCCACAATTCACATGATGCATTGTAAAAAAAAAAAAAGCTAAATAGCTCACTAGTAGCCCCTGTTCTCTGCAATTACATATTTATCTCTGTTAAAGTGAACCTGTCCCTTTGAAAGTCAAATTTAGTTAAGACTGGTCCAGCAAAGCAAGAACTCAAAGATTTAATTTACTTAAACTATCTCCAGTGTGCATGGGAAGCCCAAAACTCTGACATTAGTACAGTTCTGACTTCTGCCATGCTAAGCAACATGCACCGGTCTAATGTAGGCTCCCAGAGAGCCATCTGCACTGACAGACACATGGCAGGGGCATAGGGAAGAAACATAGTGCAGCTATAGTCGAGGATATGTGACCGTGACACTAAACTCAGGAGTTAAATCTTAAAAATACATTGCAGTACCTTAACTGGTATCAAAAATGTATCTTATTTGTGTATCACTCGGCTGTAG